GCTGGACAAAATCTCCAGGCGTTCTTGCTGGCTGAATATCTGGTATGCTTGCCTGGATTTCGTTTTCTACTAAGCGCACAGACTGCTTGTCTGCCGTCTCCCGGCATCCCATGTGAGACTGGATCTGGTGGACCAACTTGTGTGTTTGCTGGCACAGCCGGGTCCGGCTCCGGCTTCCTCCGAACCTGATTCTGCTTCTTGAGTGTGTCCCTTATGGATTCGAGGAGTTGAAATCTGCAGTTTGTTGGGTTAGGCTGCAAAAGTGCAGGTAGTTCCTTTTGTGCCACTGGCACAGCTTGGGTGGAGATGTAAATTGAGTAGAGCGGGGTCTCAGGGAATCACCAGGGCGGAGCAAACAGCAATGGCGTCTCTGCGACTCTGCGTCTCTGTGTCCCTGAGTGCCGGCGAGGAGCTCCGCGAGAAAGCCACCCTTGCTGTCCGACCTGCTTCAAGGCCGTCCCGCCTCTCCCTGTAGCGTCTGGGACCTCAGAATCTCGCCCCAAACAAGCTCAGTTGATTCGAGAGTTTGTAAGCCCTTCCGATTGAAAAAAACCGCGCATCCAGTTGCAGCCCGCCTGGCGCGCGACTCCGTACTTCTATTCTTGGCGCCTCTGCACATCCTACTCAGTCTCAATGCTCTTCTTTCTTTTCTTCCAGTTGTAGAACTTCCACTGGGCCAGCTTTCCCATGGTTCTGAATGATAGCTGTTTGTCTTATAGTTGGTAGTTTCAATGTTGTTGTGGGAGACAGCACGCACAGGTCTATACCTTATGCTGCCATCTTGGTTTTCCTTTTTTTTTTTCTTTGTTAGCTTTGGGTTTCTTTAGTTTTCTGAGGTACAATATTAGATTGTTCATATGAGATCTTTTTTCTTAATGTAGGCATTTATCTCTATAAAATTTCCTCTTAGAATTCCATTTCATGCATTTTATACACAAGTTTTGGTAGATTGTGTTTCTGTTTCCTTTACCTTCATCTAATTTTGAGTTCTCTTTGTGTTTTTTATTTCTTTTTTTGTCTTTGATCCACTGATTGTTTAGGAGTGTGTTAGTTTCACATATTTGTGAATTTTCCAGCTTTCTTGAAACTACAATTGATTTTTGCTTTCCTACATTGTGATACTTAACATGATTTCTTCTCAAAGTTTGAGACATTTTTTCACCTAATGTAGAGAATGTTTCATGTGGGCTTGACAAGAATTCATGCAAAAGTAGGCCTTCTTTCCCCCAGCTTCTGGCACTTGCTTCCCCTGGGGACCCAGGCTGCTGGCACTGGCTTCCCTCAGGCACCCGGGACCCAGGCTTCCCTCCTCCCGCCGCGGGCAGGCAGCCGGGATCCAGGCTGCTTCCCTCCTCCAGCCACCTGCAGGCACCCGGGACCCAGGCCGGCTTCCCTTGGGCCTTCCACAGGCACCCAGGACCCGGGCTGGCTTCCTTCCAGCCCAGGCTGTCAGGAAGAACGTCCGGAATGACATCTGGAAGACGTCTGGTCTAATTAGCATATTACCCTTTTATTATTATAGACTAGAGGTCCGGTGCACAAAAATTTGTGCACTCGGGGGGGTCCCTCAGCCTGGCCTATGCCCTCTTGCAGTCTGGGACC